GCAATATATAGACCCTTTCGCGTGCAGCTATCTATACGTAGCCGTAAAATGGCGGTAACGGCGTTAGAGTAATTAATTCCCTTCTGGTTGGGGCGTCTTTAACCAGTATAGTTAAAGCATAAAACTGCTAACGTTGATGAAAACACTGTTAACATAAATGAAAACACTGTTAACATAAATGAAAACACTGTTAACATAAATGGAAACACTGTTAACATAAATAAAGACGCTGTTAACATGGATGAAGACGCTGCTAACGTGGATGACGACGCTGTTAACGTAAATAAAGACACTGTTAACATAAATGAAGACGCTGTTAACATAAATGAAGACGCTATTAACGTAAATAAAGACGCTGTTAACGTGGATGAAGACGCTGTTAACGTAAATAAAGACGCTGTTAACGTGACAATAAAGCACGCTCTTCCACCGTAAAATAAAAAGAATCTGTGGTCTGAATGACGACACTGGCTAACGTAGTGAAGGACGCCTGTTAACGGCTAATAAAGACGCTATTTAACGTAAATAAAGTCGCTGCACACCGGCTTTGTTAGATTTGGAGTGCTCCTTCGCCAACCGATCTCAGCCCATCCATCACCCAGTGGATGAAGACATGCTTAACGTGGATGAAGACCGCTGTTAACCGTAAATAAACGCCCAGCCTCTGCGTCGTTAAGCGTAGACTTCCCAGGCTATGATCTGTAGCCTGCTTCTTTTGGTTGTGCTGTCCCATTAATGCTGTACCTTGAGATCTTCTCTCTTCAATATAAAACATTTTAGAGCCTATTTGGGTTTGGCGTCTGACCTTAAGAGGGTCCCCTCAATGACTCGCTGTCGATAGAATATAAGTTACAATATGTGGTGCGCCGATCCTCATACTTAGTGACCTAGTGCCACATTAAGAGATACAGCGGAGTTGTAGCATTACGAAGCGGACATCCTTCTGTGACATAAAGATTCCTGTCGATCCCCTGGCCCACCGGCACCTCCCTCTCCTCCCCGTCTCCTCGTCTTCCCCCCTACTCGTTTGGAAGGACTTTAATAGAAAGGTTAGTAATAGAGAATACTTTGGCGCATCGTACGCAAGAAGAATTAAACGATGGTGACTGAACAAGTCCAGACAAACAGGAGAGAGAGATGAGGACCGTCAGAGCACTCGAGATACGGGAGAGAGAGAGATCACGTTGGAGGAGACGAGAGGAGGGCAGAGAGAGAGAAAAGAGAGAGAGAGAGGAGGAGACCAAGCCAGAGACAGTCAGAACAGAGAGAGTAGTGGTACGACGAGAGAAAGAGAGAGAGGTGTCGACTTGTCAGAGTGTCGTGCGGACCTTGCGACGAGAAATCAAGACGAGGTGACGAGATGAGGGAGTGAATGAGCAAAGAGTGAGGCGGCTCGAGAGCAGAGTAATGCTGAGCGGGGAGAAGAGATGGGAGAGACGAGCAGTGTGGTGTGAAGTGCAGAAAGAAGGAGAGAGACGGAGGGAAGACTCGAGAGACCGAAGAAGCAGAGCAGCAGTGAGAGAGAGAACTTTGAGAGACGACGAGAGAGAGAGAGAGAAGGAGGGGATAGCAGACGTTAACCGGGATAGGGTCCTGTAACATAGACGACTAGTGCGTAGTGGGCGGGGCCTGGGGGTGACCTCGTTATGTTGAATCGAGGCCAGTAGCCAAGGCAGGTTGCATTCTGTTGAAAGTGCAGGCCAGTGCGTTTTGGTCGCGCGCTGCATCAAGCCACAGCAGAATTTGTTAGCTATCGGCCGCCCTAGGTGCTATCGTGTGTGTGACGCCGATTGCTAAGCCATCTATCTCTGCCTTCGTCCCTCTCCACGTGGCGCTGAAGGACGATCACGTTACTCACACCACACACAACGACACCACAGCACACCCGCACCGCGACCAGCGATGCACACGAGCACACCACTGGCTACACGGCCACCTCACTCGGCAACCACGCCATACGCACGCTCTACGAGTCCGCAGACGCACACGCACACGCTAGCACGCCACCACGCCAACACGCAACACGCCAACGCACACGCGCACATGCACACGCGAGACGCACACATACACACAGGCACATACGCACACGCACACACGCACACTAGCGCACGCACGCACGGAACAGTCGCACGGCACGCACTACGGACGCCGCCACCACGCGCACACACACGCACGCACGCACGCCTGCGACACGCGCCACGCCGCGATTAGTACTGGGTCTGCGCAGCGCTTCCTCCGCTGCATGCCTGCCCCAGCGGTCCGGCAGCCAGCACACTATATATCCTTTAGCTGTCAATATATTACGGCTAACTTTACCTGTCGCTTCGCCGCAGGCTCCTGGTCCCGTAAGTGTAGCGATGTGGATATGCGATACTATCTCCTTCGTGCGGTAAGAGGAGGCCACCGGCGCAGATCGATCTTCTGGGTTCTTGTACTCAAATAGTTCGGCTAGTGGCTGAATTTTCAGATATTTCGTCAAGCAGAGGTTGGCGCAACAGTTTTGCAACAGGGTGCAGCAAGGTTCGCGCGCCATACACTATTCTGTTGAATGCCGTCCTCTATCCCACTGTCAACCCTCAACTCTCAGGTCTCTCATATTCTTTCTCCAGCGTCATTCTTCTACGCATCCTTGGTCCATCGTGATTCGCCACACCGCACTCTAATTCCTATTCAGTCTACTAATATGTCTTACGGGCACAAGTTCATATGAAGCCATCCCATCTCCTGCCTTGCCATGCTCATTCTTTCCTCGCTGATCCAGTTTCTCTCGGTGCTTTAATATTATTCGCCATGAATCTCTCGTCTCTTCGTCTCTCTTCTCCTCTCTCTCTTCTTCTCTCTTGCTCTCTGCAGTCTCTCTCTCTCCTCCTCCCTCATCTCTCTCTCTCTCTCTCTCTCTCTCTTCTCTCTCCCTCTCTCTCTGCTCTGCTCTCTCTGCTCTCTCTCCATCTTCTCTGTCTCGTTCTCTCATTCCCTCTTCTCGCTCTCTCTCTCCTCGTCTACTCTCTCTCTCTCTCCTCTCTCTCTCTCTCTCGGGTCCCATCATCCTCTCTCATCTCTCTCCTCCTCTCTCTCTCGATCCCTCTCTCTCTCTCGTCCTCTCTCCTCTCTCTCTCTCTCTCTCTCGTCTCCACCTCTCTTCATCCACTCTCTCTCTCTCCTCTCTCTCTCTCTCTCTCTATCTCTCTCTCTCTCTCTCTCTTGATTCTGCCATCCATCGGTCTCTCTCTCTTCTCTCCATCTCTGCTCTTCTCTCTTCTCTCTCTTCTATCCCTCTCTCTCTCTATCTATCTCTCTTCCTCTCTCTCTCTCTCCGTCTCATCTCTCTCTACGCTTCTCTCAGCATCTCTTTCTCTCCGATTGACGTCTCGTGCTCTCTCTCTCTTCTTCTCCTCCCTGCTCTCTCTCTGCTCATACATCTCTCTCATCTTTCTCGCGCTGGATCTCTCTGCCCTCTCTCTCTCTCTACTCCTCTCTTCTCCTCTTTTACCTCTCATCCTCGTCGTCCTCTTGCTTATCTTTCTCTCATCATGCTTACTGCTAGCGATTACCTCCATATTACACTTAATAATGACTATACTACTATTATTAAGATTATAACTACTAGATATCATATATCCGCCATCCAACTTCATCTCGTCTCTCTCTCATCTCTCCTCTTCTCCTCCTACTCCTCTCTCTCGTTCTCTCCTCTCTCTGCTCTCTCTCTCTTTCTCCTGCGCTCTTCTCTCTCTTGTCATCTCTCCCTCTCAGCTCTTCTCACTTCATCATCGTTCTCTCTCTCCTGCTCCGGTCTCCTGCTCCGTCTCCTCACAGCCTACTCGTGCGTCGGGCTCGCTCTCAATTCTGCTCCTCTCTTCTTTTTTCTCTCTCTCCTCTCTCACTACTCATTCTCGTCTCTCTGCGGTCCGCTCTTTCTCGTCTCTTTCTCACTCCTCCCCTCTCTCTTCCTCTCTCTCCCTCTTCCTCTCTCTCTCGCTCTCTCTCTATCTTCTCTCTCTCAACTCCACTCCATCAATATCGTGCCGTCCGTCGTCACGTATTTCCATTATTCCTATTTCATTATTCCAATTTCATTATTCGCGGCGATCAATGCCGCTAATAATCTCCCCTATCATGCGACGGCAGCTATTTTATAGGTCAGACTAGAAGTCTAGGTCAGACGAACCCGGCAGCACCCGATGCTGAATGCGAGATATTTTGGCGGGAAAGTACTGCGGCAGAATCTTGCCGTTGACACAGGAATGCGCGGGGGGCTATTGTGAGCTATACATGCACGCAACTATTCTGCACACGTTCGCCGCTTAATCACATGTAAATGAGCGTAAATGTAAATGTAAATGAGCGTGCATTCGTATGCACATCAGAGCCGCTATTATGACCCATAAAGGAATACGCGCGCGCGCGCACGCACGCTCGCGTTGTGTAGTAAAATATTATCGGGAAAATGCTGCCGGAGAGACGCGGTAAATGTCCGCGCGCTTGATTCTTAATTATGATGCAGATTATTACGTGGATATTCCGCCCCCGCTCCCCCTCTCTCTTTCTCTCTCTTTGCCCGTTTTGTACGCTTTCTCTTAATGGCTGCCTCTCCTCCTCCTCCCACCCGCAACAATATGTTATTTTATCTATCACAGTAATCTCTTTACTACCTTTTTAGTTAACACGATTTCTTGATTACGTGAATGCTTAATTGAATGTGCATAATTATCCGTGGAATGACGGGTCATTTTACTAGATAAATATTCTAGCCATTAAAAAGCATACATCTAGCTGTTCATGGACCTTTGTAACATGTATGCGATCATCATATGGGATAGGATACGATCCCTACACGATGTTTCAATATATAGGTCGATCTTTCAAGCATGAATAATAGAAGCGAACATCGAACAATAATTAAAATAATTGTGTTGATATGTTTGGAAAATGACGATTTCTCATCGCGTATGATATACAAACAGCTTGTCTTAATCCGTTTATTCATTTTGCCTTTGCAGATAACATATATCCCTATCAGCAGTTGACAATATTGCAACAGCAGCAGCACATAGGGGGCGCTCACGCACACATGCGGAGAGAAGCCATCAACACGCCGCCTTCCCCCACGTCCCCGACAGAGCAGCTGAAGCAGCTGCAGTTGCAACGACCGCCCAAGAAGGCGCGCAAGCCACGCACGGAGAATGGAGCGCCGATGAAACGCAAAAGCAGAGAGAGTAAGTTTCACGCGAGGGCAGAAGAATAAAGACGCTATTAACGTAAATAAAGACGCTGTTAACGTGGATGAAGACGCTGTTAACGTGGATTAAGACGCTGTTAACGTAAATAAAGACGCTGTTAACGTAGACGTTCAGATGATGTCTTCTTTGGTGTGCTTCTATTAATAGCTGTACCTTGAGATCTCTCTCTCCAATAATAAACATTTTAGCCTATTTGGGTTTGGTCTGACCTTAAGAGATGCTCGCTGTCGATAGAATATAAAGCTTACAATATGTGCGTCTCGATCCTCATCTTAGTGACCTAGCTGCACATTAGAGTACACGGATGTAGATAGAAGCGGAATCCGTTCTGTGACATAACGTGTTGAAGGACTTTAATAGAAAGGTTATTAATAGAAGAATCTTTGCGCATCTTACGCAAGAAGAATTAAACGATGGGATAGAACAATCTCCCCTCATCTCTCTCTCTCTCTCAGCCTCCTCGTCCTCTGCGATGTATTTTGCGCTCGTGTAATGAACACTCTCAATGAGCGTGCCGTGCGAGGCTGAAGCTCATGACCGTGACACGACTCCGAGATATTAATATCGCCTGACAGAGCAGACGGACGAGCAACATAACCATTACGTCATTTTACGAGGCGCGAAAAATCTGGCGCACACGCGTGGCGCGTAGAAGACCGACCCTTATTTGTCAGCGTAATTGACGAATAAGTAAAAGATTTTTAATAGTATTAACTTAGTAAAGTAAATTAATAGTAAGAACTTTAGTAATCAATTCCCTAACGCTATTGACCGCACCGCACGCTGGTTTCGTCACTCTGTCGTTCATCGTGTCGATCTGTCCTTTATCGTGTCACTCTGTCGTTTATTATGTCGATCTGTCGTTCATCGCACGTCGATCTGTCGTTCATCGCACGTCGATCTGTCACTCATCGCACGTCGTTATGTCGTTCATTGTGTCGATCTGTCGTTCATCGCACGCCGATCTGTCGTTCGCAGGGTCCCTTCCACCGAGTCCGGCAGACAGCGGTATCTCTTCGTCGGACCTGGAGAGCACGGGAAGCGGGGACGAGGCGAGAACGAAGCTACAGGGTGAGTGAGTGATGGTGGCTGCTCGTTTATCATCTCGATCTTCTCTTACGAACGAAAGAACGAAAGAGAATTTCCTTACAAATTGGTTCGATGCATATCAAGATTCCATAATAGAGACTCTCTTATGGACATAGTCTCTATTATGGATTCTTGATGAATATAGATTCGTGTTCTCTCTCACAAACAGACCGGGTGTGTGTGTGTGTGTGTAGTATGTATTCTAGTCTGTACTACGGCAATGTGTATGCATATTTACTTCCTACAAATCGATCGGCAACCACGCATCTAGCTTCTATATCTCTTTATGATTGCGCGGGCCTGGTTGCAAAATGGAAAGGTTATATGTGGCAGCGCGCGCGTAAACGTGAACGTGCTTCTAGGCTAACTGTCTGCTATTATTACCTGCGCGGCGGGGGATGGGCGGTTGTCTGAGTTAGCTTCCTGTTTCGTGGCTGTAGTTACAGGTATCTTTGTCCGTCGCTAGAAATACCTCGATGGACTTCAGTTTCTTTATTAGACATAGTTTTCTGAGATTTTACTTTGATATATATATATGCTCTATCAAACGGACTAGGTTGTCTTTTTTCAAACGTACGAAGGATCACCTTGACTCTAACAAGCGTTCAGACGTGGTGGTGATAGCTAGTGCATGGCGGATGTTTACATTGCTCACACGAATGACGCAATGCCACACGCGACTTCAACAACTAATAACACACATCAGTCAGTAGGCGCCCATAGTCAATGAGACATTTCGACAAATGAAAGGTCGCGCTACTATAGGCGAGTAGTTTATGGGTTTTGGCGGTATAGGTTGTGCTGGGAATCATAATATACGTGTATTGGGTGTATAATCCAGAGATCTAACTCTGGCGTATGTTAGGTAACTGATGTCAGAGAGATTTAAAGTGGGATATGGTGGCTCGCTTAGCAAATATTTGTCCGTGTCGTATTATTCCCCGATACGTTGATCTGTCATCAGGCCCTTCCCAGTCACGATGAGTTTGCATCAATAAAGCGCTGCGTGTGTGGAGCGTACATAACGCTGTTTCTCATTGTAGGCAAACGCACTCTCGTGTGTGCAAAATGCGACAGCGAATCGCAACGCGCTATTTTTGTGTTCGGTTTTCGGCCTTCATAGATGATGATATGTTTGGCGACGCGATGATTAGATGGGTGGGAAAGCTGTCACGGTGGAGGCAAGATGCGAACAATATGCATTCTATGTGGCTGGTGACACATCTCACATTCTATGTGGCTGGTGACACATCTCACATTCTATGTGGCTGGTGACACATCTCACATTCTATGTGACTCCGCATATAGAGAGATATAGACATAGATACCGCAGCACAGCGCTCGTACTGCCGCCGTATTACGCATGGCCTGTTGTTTAATCTTTGTGCAAGTGTCCAGGTTGCGCTCACAGTAGCAGCGGCTATTGATAAAAACCTTGCCCTTTGGCGCACAGGGGGGAAACAGGCAGCGACTGCCAGCCAGACGTCAAACATCTGGTATTCGTTTACAAATCCCGCCAAACTCTCCTGGTGATCATTAATCTTGTCGCAAGATTCTTTATATCCGAGCCATCTAGCGATCGAAACATTCAGTGATAACGTACCTGGGTGCGTACCTCAGGTGCTGATTACGCGATTTGACTGCCATCTAGTGTAACATAACGTCATCTTTCTAAACATCGCACCAGGCAGCTTGCTACGCGGCGACGCCTGTGAAAAACAACACATAATAAATTTCCAAAAATGGCAAGGAAACAATGATAGAAACTAAATGAATTCAATTCAAATCAGAAACGCCTCAACTTTGTTTTCTTATTACCACTCAGGTTCCACAACGTACCTGTGGGAGTTCCTACTTAAGCTACTACAGGACAAGGACACGTGCCCGAGGTACATCAAGTGGACCAGTAAGGAGAAGGGCATTTTCAAGCTCGTTGACTCCAAAGCCGTCTCGAAGCTGTGGGGCCAGCACAAGAATAAGCCCGATATGAACTATGAAACGATGGGCAGAGCTCTTCGGTAAGTCACCGTAGAGTGGAGCAATTGCACGTAATGAGAAGCATTGCAAGCATTGAGTAAGCGCGCCTCAACAACAGAGCTAATATGCCAAAAATGCAACAAAATGCGCCCTGTAATATTGTGTGTGTGTGGGTGTTTCAAACTCATATTGCGTAACTCGCGTAATAACAATCATGTAATTAAAATAACATCGTGAAATAAAATCATGTATTATTATGTGCAGGTACTATTACCAAAGAGGCATTTTGGCCAAGGTGGATGGTCAGAGACTCGTCTACCAGTTTGTAGATCTGCCCAAAGATGTTGTTGATCCCACGGCTGACAACGCCACGCCTGCTTCATAGCTGTATCGTGATTCTCTTTCGTCATGGCAACGCATCATCAACGCATCTAGCGACTACATCCACTGACATTCATCGTGGGACGATGTTCGTTTATAGTATATATCTCCGTGGAAATCTACGATTTCTCATAATCAATTATGATACGGTACTTCTACATCAATCCTGCCGTCGTGAATGTCATTGCAAATGACTTGTGACGTGAGGGGGTTGTTTGAATTTAATTCGGTTGGAACTCGTTTCCTTTTTGTCGGGAAAATGAAATTTCGACAGACTGTTCCTGTAATGTGGAGGGTGTCCGTGACAACCAAGTTTCATATACATGGACCATAACTGTTTATTCTGCCTTGTTACTGAACAGGAATATTAGTAGAAACAACCCATACTGGCATTGGATAGCGGCTTACGATTTAACACAGATAGAGAGGTCGCGTAGAGTATATAAACTACTTACAGTACAACTTACAGTAGCACCTATCAAATGCCAGGCTAGGTTGCTTTAGCTTCCGTGTTCATCCATATTTGTATATATTGTAAGAACCAAGTCGAATTATTATAATAATCGAGTAATCTCTTGTTAATTGTTATTGTTGTTATCGATGGACAATGGACCATTTTGTACAAAAAAATATCGTTTATCTATGCGGTAGTACGTGCTGGTGGTATTTCGTGGGGAGTCTTAGTTATGGCTTCAGTTTGCGATATTTCGGGCTTTAGCGAGCTGCATGGACGCTGTAGCTGGTTTAACATTCCCGTCGGCCATAAGCTGGCGGAGACAGTGCGTAGGACGTTCTTCGTTGTGCGCTCTGCGAACGCACACTTTGGTCTATCTATCGTATGTTAATCGCACTGCTCCTGATCCTGATCGCCTGCCATAGACGTCAGCTAGTAACAACCCTAACAACCAACGTCGAGCACGATTGATTTCACCTGCAACGAAAAACGATCCCCATATCGAAGATATAATATGACGAGAACAACGCCAACAATATGGCCGCCACCTCGCGACCGTGATCAGGATCAGCTTGGGGCAAATGTGTGCAAGTTGCGTAAGCAGGCACGGGTTTGTCTGACACGCGCTTAGACGCGTTGCCGCCGCCGCCATATCCTTTCTTCTTCTTCTGCCTCGCGGGCTTTGCTTCAAAAATGTGTAGGCTCCGCTTGGCTAAAGAAGAGTCTGGTGTATCTTTCTACGCTGGGGGACTGTCTATGTTGTTTTAGGCTCAACCACGCGAATTATAACGTGAGGGGTATTCGTACGTGACTGTGCGTGGGGTTTGAGCTGATCGCGGATTCTGTTCGCCCCCCCCCCCATTACAAATTTCGAGGTGCTTTCGAGTTGGTTCTGCTAGAAGTGATTAGATGCTATTTGTGCTGCAATAACAGGGAGAATCAGCTCTCATATGGACACTAACATACGGCGCTATTACTAATGCTACTGTCTCACATCATAACGGTGCCCGTCTATATCGGCTGTGCTGTGGCACGTTTTTTTCATTCCAAAATGCGCCCTCTGGTGGCAGAATGGCAGAAAAACAAAAGGGTCGCTGCTCAGCTGCTGAGTAGGTGGGGGGGTCAAATGTCATGTCATCGCACTCATTGAAGCATGTAAAATATATTTTTATATAAGGAGGTTATGGACCACGAGAGATTTTTACAATGCAGTAAAACTTTTGTAGTGCTGAGGTATACTTTAATATACGATATATAATGTATTTTTAATAAACAGGAGATGGTTTATATTTCCCTCCATATATAGATATTATAAGAGATCGGTTGGAACGATTAGCAAGGGACATCTTTAGCCCTAGTTCATTCATCATGATGGTTAGGTGGCCAGATCGTATATTTAGTTTGTAACATTTCAAAGCGCATTCTCATTATTATTGTATCAAGAGCGTATTAAGAAGCCTTCTTTATACGCTCTTGATTGTATGGACTGCCATGTATTTAATATAACCGATCATTTATTCTTACTGCAACACCCTTCCGGCTCTAGCAGTAGCAGTTTTATAGAAAAGCAATATATAGATGTAATACGATCCCTTTACGAACAAAACCGCCGAATTACGGGCAACACCCCGACGAAATAAATTACTGATCAGATGCTAGTACAATATTAGAAAGTGCGAATTGGCAGTACAGTATCGGGATGCTAGAATTCATTGGACATTAGAAACGACTAGTGGTTTCCCGCATAACCATGGTAACAATGCTCTCCACGTTGTGTTAAATTGCACGTCCATACCTTTGTGTGCTAATCACTCTGCCATACTTGTAAATTCATCTGTCATATGTTCATCTGGTAAATGACATTGTCCATCCACTAAGCTAGGTTTTGCGTACATGTAGCTACATCTCTCGCTCCATTTTTTTTTGCTAATGAAACCGTGTATGAATGCTATCATTGTGCATGTTTTTGTTTGTACGGCTAAATTTACATTTGAAATTAATTCGAAGTTCTGGCTCTGGCAACACTGCTATACTGTCGTCTTTCTATAGTGCACGATGTAAAACATCTACATCTTGTAATACTGACGATAACATAATATGCCGATACATGCGTAGGTTCTGAGATATTTTGTCTAGGTAATCGAATGTACGACTATTGATTAACATTCATTTCATACACAGACTGTCGGCATATATCTATATTTTATATTAGCATTAGACAAGTTACCAGAGCCGATGTGAAAAAAAGATTCGTACGAGGACAGTATATTTTTTAGTATACTGCAGCTAAATAACGTACAGTGTGCACTAAGCGTCGCCAGTGGCTATGAAATGTACTCTGTATGGAGGCCTTTGCTGCAATAAAGTCTATTTATTTCAATATCTGACTTTTACGTTGCTATTACTGCGTTCAGAAATTTGTGTTCCCGCGCGCGCGCGTGCGTGCTTGCGTGCTGCGCGTGCGCGCGTGTGTGTAAGTGACTTTTCCTTTACCTCATCTAACCTTCCACCTCCCTTCTTGTTCATTTCTCTCTATCTCCGATTCCTTTTCCGTCCGCCGCTCCCGCTCCTCCTCTCCTTCTTCTTCTCCTCCTCTTCCTCATTTACCGCTCTACTTCTCTTCTCGTTCCTCCTCTATCTCCACTTCCTCCCTCACCCTCAGCCATATTCCCCCTTGTCTTCTCCTCCTTCTTTCCTTCCTCCTTCCTCTCCAACGTCTCCTTATCCCATTTTCATTCCCCTCATTCTACTCCCTCTCGCCTCCTTATCTCTTTGTTCTCCTATTCGTCTGCCTCCTCTTCCTCCTCTTCCTCATCCTCATCTTTATCTACCGCTCCACCTACCTCCTCGCCCCTCCTCTCTCTCCACTTCCTGCATCACCCCTCCTCTTCCTCCTCTTCCTCATCCTCATATTTATCTACCGCTCCACCTACCTCCTCGCCCCTCCTCTCTCTCCACTTCCTGCATCACCCCTCCTCTTTTTTCCTGCATCCTTCATATTTATCTACGCGCTGCCACGCTAACGCTGCCTGCCGCGCGCCTCCTCTCAGCTCCCCCCCCCGCCGCTCCCTCTGCCACTTCCGCCTGCATCACCTCGCTGCCTCTTCCTGCATCGCTCATATTTATGCCTACCGCTCCACCTACTCTCCTCGCCGCTGCGCTCGTGCTCTCCACTTCCTGCAACTCACGCCCTGGCCTGCTTGGCCTCCTGCTTCCTCATCCTCATATTTATCGGAAGCGAGCGCGTCCCGCTACCTCCCTCGCCCCTCTGCTCTCTCCGACTTCGCTGGCATCAGGGCCCCTCGCTCTTCCTCTCTTGCGCTCATCCCTCATCTTTATCTACCGCTGCCACCTACCTCGCTCGCCCTCCTCGTCTGCTCCACTCGCTGCATGCACCCCTTCCTGCTTTCCTGCCTCTCCTCCTGCTTCCGCTCATCCTGCAATATTTATCTACGCGTCCAACGCTACCTCCTTGCGCCCCGCTCCTACTCTCTCACTTTGCCCCTGCTATCACCCCTGCCTCTTTTTACTTCCTCGACCTCGCCGCTGCTTCTTCGCCTTCTCCGTGCGCCTCCGTCGGCGGCTCCATCACCGTCTATATCTCAAACTACTCGTCAGTATGAGCACTATATACTTACAAATCAAACTTTCAACAAAATAGTTTATCAGATGGTAGATGCTGGAATACGCACACACACACACACACACACATCACACACAACTAACACACAGTCAGCACCACACACACAACACACACAACACAGACACACACATACTCACACACACACTAACACACAGCACACACCACACACACACAGGGCACGACAGCAGGCACAACACTCGCTACGCACACACACAAGAACACACACAACCACACACACACACACACGCAGCACACACACACAGCGATCACACACACACACACACACACGACAGCACACACACACACACACACACACACAACTGCACAGACAGCACAGCACAGCACACACAGCACACACACGGACACACACACCCACACGACAGCACACACGACACGGCACACACCACGAGCACACACAGCACACACACACCACACTCACACACACACACACACCACAGCCACACACACACACACACACACACACACACACACACACACACACACGAGCGACAAGCACAGCACACTACACCACACAACACACAGGCACACACACACACACCACACACACACATCAGGCGCCTATAAACCTATGCTAATACAACTACTAAATTTGAAAGGTTAAGCGAGGCACCGTTTATAATTGATTAAAGTGATATATACTATATTGAAATAATAGTTTTGCATGCGAACTATCCTAGGTCGCGTGCTCTCTACTTCAAAATAGCAAAATTTCAACCAATTGATATTCGTATTGCAAGTACTTGACAAGTGTTAATACATATCTGCAGCTATATTATATTATTGTATTACAGTATAGCATAAGAGCTTATAGATGATTATAATCAGCTTTATGATTATTAATGTATATGATGATCCTGATGTCATGATGGCATCGTTGATTATGCTTATGATACATTATCTATATGAGATTATGATTATGTTTTTTGCTCCTGCTTTATAATCTTTTTATGATCTCATATTAATGATCATTATAAGCTCTTTGAGTATAGCATAGACTATCAATGTCGTGAGTTATTTGGGTTGGCAGAAAACGCAATGACAATAGTAGTAATAATATTATTTTATTGTAGTGCAATGATGTTCTCCCGTATAGTATGGTTGCTTTATCCGATTTGCGCGAGGTTATAGTCCGGGAGCCATGGGGTCCTACCCTGCACTGAGAGCTTAAAGTTTTTTTTCTTTGCGCTGAATTGCTTGTAGAGTTAGGTGTTGGTCTTCACTTTGCTAGGTGGATGACCACACCGCCACCCTTGAGCAATTTTTCTATATTAACGGGCCTTTTGTGTTGAAGAGCGTCAACACTGCAAAATTTGGCGCAAAATTAGGGGTGGGGAGAAACAAAATAGTCTAAGCTACGTATTCTGTAAGGGGGGGTTTGTTAAAAGCTTAAATTGATTCAGTGTGACACTCAAAATGTTGGTAATTTAAGAGCTGCTTTCTAATGATAGGTGAATAATGACAAGTCAATTAGAGGTCAAAGGTCACAAATGTTTGGAACCTTTCTCGAAATCTTAAATATTGCTTTTAGGGCAGCTGCCTGCCTTGGCCAAGAAGCAGCTATAATGGTGCTTTTTACCCTAAATTTGTTTGCAAGGAGATGTTCCTGTCTATCATTTTAAACTTGCACATGTTCAAATATGTTATAACTGTTGCACCAACGGCTATTATTACAAAAGAAAGACAAGTGATGTGCTAAATAGCTGTTTTTATTACGCCAAAGTGATAACGCTTAGCAGTAATCCGAACTGTGCGATCTAGAGGAACCATTGGCTACTCCAGCGCACATTATTGGCAGATGGGGAAAGTGCAAGAGGGGCTTTAGTCCTAGATTTTGACATATTTTGGGCGCAAACTTTACAGGGTCAAAGGTCATACAATGTACACAGTTAACTGCAGTCAGTTGTTTCGATGGACTGAGCTGGCATCATTTTAAATAACCAGCGCCATAGGTAGCTCCATTATATTTGCGTTTTTGTTTTAAAAATGATTCTCATTAATACTGGTGATATTTTTCATAAGCAGGCATGCCTCTATGTCACTAATGTTGGCACTCAGTGCTAACTATTGTCTCAGGCGAAATAAAGAATATGGTAGTCCGCATTTTGCGGGTAGAGTCTTTCAGTTCGGCAGGCTCTAACGCATCAGGCTCTCTCTAGAACAACCAATGGGTGTGCAAGCACAAACATGTGGCATGGTAAGTGGCACGCAAACATCTTTGGATGAAGCACATTTCTTCGAGGCATGGACGTACACCAG